GAAGGAAGGAAGGAAGGAAGGAAGGAAGGAAGGAAGGAAGGAAGGAAGGAAGGAAGGAAGGAAGGAGGGGGGCTGGGGAAATGAGCAATGCACTTTAGCAACCATATTCTCCACATGCTCATCTCCCCTGTGACCTGCCTACTCCAGAAAGGCTCTTTGTCTCTGTGGTCTCCACCTGTCTTTAGGCATTGCTGGCCACGCACTCCCCAGGCACAGTCCGTGAACGGGTTCTGGGAGCACACTCAGGACACCACGCTCAGGACATAGCAGCATCCTGTCTGCCTGAGAAGCCAGGCCAAGGCCAGCTGCTGCCACAGTAGCTCTTCAGAGCTCAGCCCTGCAGGAAATGGCCGAACTGTCCTGTCCTCGGCTCATGACAGGCAGCTGAGGCCACCAGACAGTGGGGACGCCGCCAGCGGTTCTTCACCTTGCCTTTAGAATTAGGCGGGTTTTCTCATCTCCAATGAGGAGCCTAAAGAGAAATTATCCTGTGAGGTTCCAGTCCCCTAGAAGAGAGACCCAGCTTCCCATCACGAATCTCCAGACCCAGAACTCTGGAGACAGGTGGCTTCCTGAGCTCAGCCCCCTCAGGCAAAAGGATTCTTCCGGTGGCCATTCAGAAATCAGCAGCTCAGTGATTAGTGGTGTTTTACACCATGCCCTGAGAATGGCCTGAGGCCCCTGAACTGCAGTAGGCAATGGTACAAGAAGGCTACATAGCCAGCCCAGATCCAACCCTCTCAGACACAGTTGAAGGGACCTGGGAGGAGTTGGTGCCTCGAGGGGAAAGAATATGATCTAAATATAATGTACAAAAACTTTTTAGTGAAAAAAAATTTAAAGCGCCTTTAAACGTGAAGCCCACCCATCGGAAAGGAAAGTCTAGGAGGTATCCCAAGTCCCCAGAAACATGTTTGAGCACTACTTGGAGCCAGGGCCACTGATGAACATCTCAATCCTAAGAGCCAGTTAGTCCCCCTTGTAAAGTAGATTTCTGTCACTTGGAGCCAATGGCCATAGACAGAGCCAGCTTAGTTCCTTCTAAAGATTCCCCTTTTCCTCCAAGTCCCAGTGAGTGCCAGTCTACTAGGTGTAGACTCCCTGGCACCCTCCTACCTAATGAGCAGTCCTACGAGGAGGCCAGCCAGGAGGGGGCCCACCCAGTAGATCCAGTGGAAGTCCCAGTAGCCGGCCATCACCGCAGGTCCAAAGGCACGAGCAGGGTTCATGCAGGCTCCAGAGATCCCACCCCTGCAGACACACAGGTACACGGTTCACCAGCATCTCCAAAGGTCCTACCTCAAATCCACATCCTTAATCAGACCTAGAGCTCACTGCACCCAGACATCCTCTCTGAGTCTAGATCTTAGTACTAGGCAGACAAAGGATGGTTGCTACATGGCCATCATATAGGCCGCTCCCCACACACTCTTCTAGAACAGTAGCCAGTAAAAACAGCTGCTTCGTCATGACAGGAGGAAAAAAATAGAACAGGTTCCCTTCCAAAGTCTATAAAGCAAAGTCCGAGGAACGTCACCCACTTTGGAGTCCAGTTGACCTACATTCAAAGTCCAGCCCAGGCAGTTCTACTCTGAAACCTTTGTGTAACCTCTCCGCCTGTACACCGAGATGAAAGTGCCCAACCTATGGGCTGTAGCCAGGAACAAATGGCGAAATGTGCATGTCATGATGATGACTACAATGGAGCTAGCCCATTGAGGTCCTCATGCCACA